ACCAGGGCTACCGCTTTGGTCCAGCTCATGATCGAAATCTCAATCTCGAGCAGAGATCATCTCCTATCCGGGCCTCACACTCTTGGCGTTCCTGCCTTAGCGGCACGCTGGGAACTTTGAGGGCTGCGTGGGTTAGATTCGGTATTGGTTGGAGTGACAGCTCTTGGCCGGGCTATGTGCCGTAGGGCCGAAGCGCTGGGATTTAGTTCGGCTTTGAACAAGTGCTCTTGGTGCTTACCACGGCTTAGTGCCCTTGGGGAACAATCGGTCCAAACAAGCGTGATCCTCCAGTCACGCAATGTGATGGGCAAGGAGGTCTCATTAAACAATGACGATCATGGCTGGACGGAGATAAGCTTGAATATGAAAAGATGGGGTGAAGAGGAAAAGGAGTCTTTTTACAAGAGCTAAAATATGAGAAAAAAGGAGTAATAAAGCGTCAGGGCGTAAAAGATGTCCGATGGCAGCTTGGGTACGGAGGTCGGTGGGCTTCAATATTGGACGCCACGGCAAGACCTTTGCCAGAACCGAAGTCTCTTAGCTGGGATTAGATATGCCGTTCGCCAAGAACACATGGTAGAATACTCCGATCGCCAATGCTGACGGCAAGCCCACCCCCATGGTGATGTGCAATCGGGAGGCTGCCTGATGGAGACAATGCGTTGTCCCACAAGGCACTTACTTAGAAGTTAGTCCTCAGTAAGCTCATCTACAAGGTTAAGAGTTTGCCAGAGGGTGGGCCAGGTCCCATTGTTGCCGCCAATGGGTCGAATGGTAAATGAGGCTGTCATCGTGACCGCGCCGATGATACTCGGGCTATATCACCATCTCACCCACAATGGCGTGATGGCGCCACCGTAGCATCCCAAATTTACCCAGCGGTGGCTTAAATAACCAACATGGCAGATCGGCAGAGTCCACTCGGCCTTTAAGGATAGTCTAACCCCCATCTCCTCCTTCTCAGATGCCGATCTCATACGTTTCTAGTATCACCCCAATGGCGTAGCCATGCATGCAGCCCTCGCTTTTCATTGACTGGCGATGTCGCCATTGAGGTCCAGATGTACGAAGGTGTCCAATATTGAGACGGCGGCAGGCTAGGAAATGGATTGAGGAAGATCGAAATCAAGTTGTTGATGAGTGATGTAACTCCGCGATAATGCTACATGGTGATATCATGCGGCCAGAGACGCTGCACAGCTCCCGCAAGCCACCACAAGTGTGACTCTCCAAAAGGCCTCTCGGGCTTATAAAGAAGCTGCGATCTGCAACTGTCTCCCACTTGGTACGGCACACCAGTCTCTGACACCTCGTCTCTCTAAGCAGGCTTATACTGTCATCTGCCATCACGGAGCCAATTGCAATTTTGATACTCCTCACCATGAAGGCCTCACTCCTTTCCGCACTGGCGCTGTCCTTTGCGACTCAGGTGCTCGGAGCACCCAACGTCGCCGCCAGGGACAATTCCGGATTTGACAAGGGACAGCCCATCAGCAGCGATGGCAAGGGTGGACCTATCCTGGGTATGTCGATAGATCATATGCACATGTTGTCTGACCGCTGACCGATGCCTGCCTGATCCCAGGTGGAACCAACCCGGCTCGAGACCTGGAGAACCCTGACAACTTGGGTCGCCAATCTACCGACTCCGGTATTGTTCCCAATCTGAAGTGGAGCTTCTCCGACTCCAAGACTCGCCTGTTGAACGGCGGTTGGGTCAGAGAGCAGGTCATCCAGGATCTGCCGCAGAGCCATGACATTGCTGCCGCTCAGCAGCATCTCAAGAAGGGCGCGACCCGAGAGCTCCACTGGCACCGTGTGGTAAGTTTCACACATTCATTGTCTACATGTTAATAGGATGCTAATTCCGGGTCCCAGGCCGAATGGGGTTTCGTCTACGCTGGTCGCGTTCTGATAAATGCTGTTGATGAGAACGGCGTCTACCAGAACGTCGAGCTGGGTCTTGGTGATATCTGGTATTTCCCAAAGGGAGTCGCACATGCGGTGCATGGACTCGACGAGGACAATGAATTCCTTCTTGTCTTCGATGACGGTGACTTCGACAAGGCAGGGTAAGTAGAATGGTCTGTTTACTTGTATGATCTGTCCTAACATACCCTCTACCAGAACCACCTTCAACATCGATGACTGGCTATCACACACACCCAAGGATGTTCTGGCCAAAAACTTTGGTGTTGACCAGAAGGTCTTTGAGAAGCTTCGCCAAGGCAGCCCATACATTGTGAACGGCACCGTCTCCAACGGCGACGTTGAAAATGCCCCCGACTCCAATGCCTCCGGAGACGCCTCCTTTGTCTACCGCACCCTCGAACACAATGCCGAGAAGATAGGCGGAAGCGGAGGTGAATTCCGCAAGATTGACTCGACCAACTTCCCCATCAGCAAGACCATTGCCGCGACCTACGTTACCCTCAAGCCTGGTGGCCTGCGAGAGCTCCACTGGCACCCCAATGTATGTAGCAGCGCGCCAGATTTGGTGATACAGGATCTCTGAGCTGACCGTGAACACCGAAACACAGGCCGAGGAGTGGCTGTACTTCCACAAGGGCAAGGCTCAGGCCACAGCCTTCACTGGTAACGGAAATGCCCGAACCTTTGACTTCTCTGCTGGAGACACTGCCGTGTTCCCTGACAACTCTGGGTAAGCAATTGTGTTCACTTTACCATCCGGTGGCGCTGACTGACTCATTTCCCAGCCACTATATTGAGAACGTCGGCACAGAGGACCTGATTTGGATCGAAATCTACAAGGCCGAGAAGGTGGCCGACATCTCGCTCACACAATGGCTCGCTCTGACTCCGTCCGACATCGTGGCCAACGTGCTGAACGTGCCAATTGAGTTTGCCAAGGACCTGAAGAAGGAGAAGCAGGTGCTGCTCAGCAGTGAGGAGCAGAAGCCACACAACAATTAAAGACGGGAAAGGGATTATGGATCCGTTCCGTTCCGTTCTGCGAGTCTCAGCTAGACTCTCCTCATGTTACTTAGCCTTCTGTAGTCGTAGCTCAGACCTACTCTTTCTCCCTCACCTGAGCGGTGGGAATAATAATTAATCAGTAGTTTATTGGATGAACTTTGTTTCGGCATATGCAAATGGGTGACTCACACCAGAGCAGCCGTCCGAACGTCTTGGAAACTTCCAGGCACAGGCTCAGCTCTGTCTCAGCTTGGCGCCACGTCACTTTGGGGTGGATCTTGGGCGTGATATCACCCGAGAGAGAATACCGTGGTAGGTGAGTAATCGAGAGAGCCGTAATGGGCCATAGCGTCGAGATGCGATATGCAGGCAAGGGAGATCATCTTGCCGCTCGCGAATGGGAGGAGAGGCAGCATCTTCAGACTGGGGACATGGTTGGGAGAGAACGGGATCAACAGGGAGGGAGATCAGAGCGGTGAAGGCTGGGCTACCCTGCATCAGGCACCACCAAAGTACCTGCCACAGTTCGTCTCCAGCGGACGTCAGGTACCGACCGACCCCAATTACAGGTACCTTACCGGAGTCTAGTGGACAGCTAGCGCGCTATCGGGTCCCAGGTAGGGGGCCGTTCGTCCCCCTTGCACAAGCCACGCCGGAGCTGACAGCGAGCGCGTGCAAGTCATCCCTCCGATCTGTCTGTGCGCGACGATGCAGAATGCAAAACACCCGCTGCTAGCGAGCTATACGAGAGCAGGCCACGGTCATGCAGGCGATTTGTTTGTTTTGCTCGGAAAGCTAATCGGGAGGGTGATGCGAGAGCAATTTCCAGGGCTGCCGTGACAAACGGCATGGAACAGGGGCCCTGGGAGGTACCAGCGGGTAGGGGCCAGGTCCTCCGAGATACGTGAGCTGTACAGTGTGGCATTGACAGCGAAGGTGGTGGGGGAAATGGCAACAAAGCTCTCCATTGTAAAAAGTTTGCAGCCATGACACAGAACCGTTTGGAAACACCACCCCGTCCACGCGTGCCGTCGAATAATCGGTGAGCTTGTCCACACACATGCAGCTGTAAACTACCGAAATTCCCAGCCGCGAGTCAGAGACGATTAGGGGGATGCCAGTATATTTGACGATGGGAGGACAGTCAATACAGGGTAGCTCCATCAGCCTGTGATGCCGCGGTATTACTGACAGACAATGGCGTGTCTTGGCGCTGGGATGACCATGAACCGAAATGACGTACCGGGCCCTATCGATAAGCTGCTCGGGCCGGTGCGGTGGCGGCTAGTGGCCTGAGCGCCCGAACCTCCAGGTCTTGTACTGCGCTAGCGGGCTGTCCAGGGCCTAAGCAGGCTGGGGTCCAGCGAAGAGGGCGCCTGGAGAGGTCGGGAATTACCAACGCCCACTGGCCCCAGCGCCTAAGAGGCTGCTAGGAAAGGCTGGGCAGGAGCCGTTCAACCTCTTTTCCTGCCTCCGCCCCCACTTGGAGCAGGTCAAAGCGATTCAGTTTGTGCATCTTCCCTCCAGCCGGCCGCAGACGAGACGAGACCAGACGGCCGCACAAAGGGCACACGGCGCTCAAACAGCCACGTTTTGCCTGTGCTGGTGGTGCATGTGCGTGCCGGAGGGGCCGTGCGGGTGGTGGACAGCGGTGCATTGTTCAACCACCACCTTCTCGTCTGTGTCGCGCTGTGCTGGCTGTCTTTATTAGGTGCATGAGTAGCGCCGCTTTTCCCACCGCAACTTACCCACATTTCGTCCACCACCTCATTTTCCATCACTCAGGTAACAGCAAACACGCCGCCGAGCCCAGCCCAGCCCAGCCCAGGCAGGAAGAAAAAAACCAGGCAAGGGTCCGAAAACATTTCCCAGCCTGTTAAAGCGTCCAGCTGTACCGCCATTGACCTCCTCGGCTGCTGGCTCGATTTTTCTCCTCCCCCTCCAAAGCTCGCACCACCACCATATCTGCTCCTCCCACCTCCTACCTCCCTACCCCGACCCTCACGCCGTCTCTGACTTCCCCATTCTCTTCTCCCAGGAGGATTTGACAATCGAAAGTGCTTCTATTTGTCCTTCTTCCTCTCTCCTCCTCTCTCCCCGTCCCTCCCAGACACGCATCTGCCCCACCACATCTGCAGTTGATTTTTTTTCAGCTAGTTCGACATGGGCAATACCTTATCCATCTTTTCTTCTAGCGGTGAGGCCCTCACGAAAGCCGAGAGACTAGAGCTCGAGCAGGAGCTAGCCGACAAGAAGGACACCATCAACGTCCTCGAAAGCGACATCTCCAAGAAGGAGAAGGAGCACACCCTGCTCTCCGCCGAAGCCGACGAGCTCCGAAAGAAGATCAAAGACCTCGAAGGCCAGCTCCACTCCTCCGGCGATGAGACCAAGTCGCTGCTTGCCGAGCTCCAGACCGAGTTGAAGACCAAGGAGGACCTCACCCGCGAGGAGCACGAGGCTTTCAAGCAGGAGCTCGAGGATACAAAGACGCAGCTGATTCTCGTCGAGGAGAATGTCCAGGCCGTCGATGCCGAGCGTCAGACCCTGAAGGCCGAGATCACCAAGCTCACCCAGGAGGTGACCGACGCCAAGGAGGCGCTCGATGCGTCCGAGAAGGCCCTCAAGGCCGAGATTGAGGCCCTCATTGCCCGCGCCACCACCGCAGAGAAGGAGCAGGGCTCCCTGAAGGAGACCTCTGCCAAGCTCGAGACCGACCTCACCGCTGCCAACAAGGCCCTCGAGGAGCACAAGCAAGCTGCCGCCGAGTCCCAAGCCAAGCTCCAGGCACTGTCCGAGACACACGAGAAGCTCAAGGCCGACTCCGACGCGGAGCTTGCTGCTTCCAAGACCAGCCTGGGCGAACTCGAGGGCAAGCACGCCACCCTACAGCAGACACACGACAAGCTGTCCACCGACTCCGATGCCGAGATTGCCTCGAAGCAGAGCGCCCTGGAGGAGCTCGAGGCCAAGTACGCTGAGCTGGAGAAGGCCAACGAGGGCCTGAAGACCGGATCTGCCGCTGACCTGGCCGCTGCCCAGAAGGAAGCTGCTGATGCCAAGAAGGCACTCGCCGACGCCGAGGAAGAGAGCGACGCTGCTCTCACCAAGGTCGAGGCCGAGCTGGAGCAATCCCGTGCTGAGGTCGCCAAGGCCCAGAAGGACGTGGCCGATAAGGAGGAGGCCCAGAAGAAGCTCACCGAGGAGAACAAGGTAGCCCTCGAGAAGGCTCAGGCCAGCATCGCCGAGGCCGAGGCCAAGGCCCAGGCCCTGGCTGGGGAGAAGGAAGCTCTCACCAAGGAGGTTGCTGAGCAGGCTACCAAGCTCCAGGCCCTGCAAAAGGAGCAGGAAGAGAGCGCCGCCAAGGCTAAGGCCCTCGGTGACGACCTCGCTGCTGCCAAGAAGGCTAGCGAGGAGCTCTCAACCAAGGTTGGCGAGCTCACCAAGAAGTTGGAGGAGGCTGAGGCCAAGGCAACCAAGGCAGAGACTGATGCCAAGGCCCTGGAAGCTGTAAGTGTCTCACTCATCACCCTGCCGCCAATTGAACTGTGTACTGACATTTGTTACTTGTAGGAGAAGAAGGAGCTTGAGACCAAGGTCCAAGGTACCGAGTCTGAGCTCAATGCCAAGCTCGAGGCGGCCCAGGCCAGCCTGAAGACTGCCGAGGGCGACGCCAAGACGGCCAAGGACGCTGGAGCTGCCCTCCAGACCAAGCTCGATGCTGCTGAGGCCAGTGCCACCGCCGCTCAGACCGAGGCCAAGGCCGCCAAGGATGCTGAGGACGACCTGACGACGAAGCTCACTGCCGCCGAGGCTGGAAAGAAGTCTGCCGAGGACAGTGCTGCTGAGCTGAAGACGAAGGTTGAGTCTGCTGAGAGTGAGAAGAAGACCGCCGAGGAGGCTGCCACCGAACTTAAGAAGAAGATCGAAGCTGCCGAAGCCGAGAAGAAGGCGGTTGAGGATAGCGCCGCCGAGCTCAAGAAGAAGATCGAGACCGCTGAGGCTGAGAAGAAGGCTGTCGAAGACAGTGCTGCTGAGTTGAAGAAGAAGATTGAGGCTGCCGAGGCCGAGAAGAAGGCGGTCGAGGATAGCGCCGCCGAGCTCAAGACGAAGCTCGAGGCCGCTGAGGGTGATGCCAAGACCGCCAAAGAAGGCGAGGCTGCCCTGAAGACCAAGCTGGAAGCTGCCGAGGCCGCCAAGAAGACGGCTGAGGATGGTGCCGCCGACCTGAAGACCAAGGTTGAGGCTGCCGAGGCCGAAGCTAAGAAGGCCAAGGACAGTGAGGCCGAGCTCAAGACCAAGCTCGAGACCAGCGAATCCGAGAAGAAGGCGGCTGTCGAGAAGACCGAGACCCTTGAGAAGAAGGTCAAGGAGCTCGAGGCTGCCGAGGCCGAGAAGAAGGCCGCCCTGGAGAAGAACACAGCCCTTGAGAAGAAGATCAAGGAGCTTGAGGAGGCCGCCGCCAAGACGGAGACGAAGGAGAACGGTGCTCCCCAAGAGGCCGCTGCCGCTTCATAATTGGCGGGGTTGCCCTTCCCATGTCCTCCTGAGGTAGCGGCTTCCCTGCGATAATCTGTGTTTTACCTCTGTGCTTTTTTTTTTATTCCCCCCCATTCACGTCTGTCTTTATGATGATGATTTGGTTTTCCCATGGGACATGACTAAATGATCTACACTTAACGCCGGAGGATCTTGCCAGTCGAACGCATTTGTTTATGTACATGACAGGGGACGATGGGAGTAGGTGGTTCATGTCTGATGATAATCGATACCCATTCATATAATGATTCAATCTAGCTTAGAAATGATGCTTTTTTTGCTCCACCACCACTGATGTTGCACCACAAGCTGACCTCATTGGCATTGCCCAATTGAGGCACTCCAAATTTTCTTCTTATTGATCGTGATGTTTGTTTTTCATGCATGCTGCAGCTCATTTATCAGATCTGAGACATCAAGGTTCGATCATGTCCATGTGGCATATGTCTGTGGATCTGTCCATGCATATTCTTTTGAATGTGATATATGACGAGAGGTTTTAGGCTTTTTCTTTTGCATGCTTAGAGTTGGCCGACTTTTTAGGATACGCTGGATCTCCTCATACTGTCCTTGTTGTAGGTGAAGTGTGAAAGCATTACGTGAAGCTGTAACCAATGTCGCCATGTGGCCCCTTTGGTCCGTCACTATACCACTGGATAATGAATCCCTTCCGCCACCTGATATCATCTTGGAACAAGGAGTTTTACAAACTTTAAAGAGCCCGTGCCACTTGGTAGCCAAGAAACTTGATTTGTTGGTATAAGCCATGCGGCCATCTTCAGATATCAAGGCAAATCTCGACCGGTATCTTCTAAGACCCGGCCCTTGAAACTATGTGCCAAAGTCCAACTCCGATCCTCGCGTGCAAAAGGGGGAGCCCTCTGCCATCTACGGAATCTCAGCGCCGAAATTTAAATTAGCATACCCTTATTGGTAACTGTATTCAGAAAAAAAAATCTGCGGCTTATTTGAATAACTTCGCCCCCATCGATATGCCGACGCGAGATACTAAATGAGGCGTGTATTCCGCCTCACAACATGTGCTGCAACCGGATAGCGAATAACCAGAGTACGTAGTCCAGTGTTGCAAGGGCGTCTGGGGCGAGCCAACTACCATCAAGTCTATCATACTTTTGAAACAAAATGGGAGGCAGTAAAATGTACTCGGTCGTTGATGAGGTAGGTGCTTTTTTAGCGGAGGCCTTCTGGTTGAGACGGGAGATGTCCTGTCGCCATGATGCCTTTTTGGATACCTTCTGCCTTTGGAAGGGCTGTAAATCTACAAGAGTAGAGCAAGACATCGGGGGTTATCAGAGAGATACTGCTATAAGCAAATGCTCAGTGTAACAAGGTCCACGGTATATGGCCCTCGACGCATATCGTTTTACAGATTGGTCTGCGTGCTATAATTGGGATAAATCAAGGTCCTTCTCACAAGACGCTCTATCCTGAGATACATGAATCCACATTAACGTGAGATAATTTGAATGTGGCCACCTGATATTGCTGACGTTGCTGTTTGTTCTCCGAAACAATCATCTTCTTGGCACCTCGGGATTGGAGGGTCGCATCCTTAAACGAACGCCGGTCGTTTGTGCACTTGAGTCACAGTCGACGGACCCCTGCGCCAGAACCCCTACGGTTTTCAAATAATTGTTTCTCCTTGGTGCCTTTGGTTAGATGGGTATGGGTGCCTGGCTGTATTTGGTTGACGAAAGTTGATCCTTATCGGCACCAGGACTCGCTCTGACCTCCTAATGATTCTACTGATGACCATGTGTGATCCAATCCACCTATGAGACCATGAAGTGAAAGCTGGACGGGAGGTAGCATTGACCAATGACGGCTGGGTCAGCGTGGTATACGAGGTGGTGCCCAACTTGATGCCCGGGCTTGTGAGGACGAGACCTGATTGAAGCCGCCACCTTCGGATGGCTTTCGGTCCCACGCGTTCCCCTCGCTGTAGCAGCGGTTGGCGGGTCCATCCGAAGTGGGAGGAGGCAAACTATTGGTTTTTAACCGGCGGGGGAAAAGAATGGCCAACCCGTCGTGCGCCGCTGATGCAAGTAGTCTGGCTTTTTGGGGGGCCGGCCCATGATATTAATAAGGCTGAGGAGGATTCGTATATTCTCCTCGCGAGCAGTGGAATGCAATATCAATCGCACAGCCAGCGCCGTTGAGCCTATTCCTAACCGAACATGTAGGGGGCCTGGCTCCTCATCAATGTCGAGACAGGGCTCAACCAGGATGAAACGTCACCCTTCGAGACCGCCTCTTGCTTCGCTGGCTGAGATTGACCCTGTACACACCCGAATCAGTTTCCAATACGGGCGTTGAAGTGATCACATGCGCCGGTCCGATCAGGACACGAGACACACACACACACACACACAGAGCCCAGATTAACTTGCGACACCACAAACTCCTGTCTCGCCGTTCGCAGGCAATTGCACACGCGGCGGGATTACGTTCGCCACAGGGAACAGGAGCTTAAATTGAACCTGGGGACAGCGAACTAAACCCCCGCAAGGCCGAAATGGAAAAGGCAAATGGCCCCTCCCCCCTGGTTTTGATACCGGCGCAATCTAAAGAGGCGCCAAATGAAGCCTTTGATTGCCCGCCCGCTGCCAAGTGTCGAGCAGAAGCAGTGATTGGCCCCTGTGCGTAGGCCCCGGGCCTGCAAAAGTTTGGATCAGCTCTGTAACGGGGGCCGTCCAGCCAATCTGCAGGCCGCTCGAGTGCGATCAGACACGGAGCCTGAGCGAGTGTTGCGGAGATCAGTGGAGCTGCGTCAAATCCTTCCAGGATGATGCGACAGCGAGGAAATAATTATCATCTGCTTCCAACCGTTGGGGGGGTTGATCTTGCCCTCTCTCCCTCTCCCCTTCGCCGTGTCCGCAACTCTAACCGTCCCGTGTCCGCGCTCTATGTGCGAGATGACATACGATGGACAGCGTCAAACAGCTGCCGTCTAGCATGAGCGCCTGGGTCATCGCCAAGACGGGCGGCGACCCAGACTCGCCGTCCCTGGAGCTGCGCGAGTCGTGCCCGACGCCCTCCAAGGCCACCGAGGCCAACGTCATCATCAAGATCGAGTTCGCGGCGCTGAACCAGGTCGACTTCCACTTCATGCGCAGCCACAAGAACAACCCCTTCCGGCGGACGTCGGTGCCCGGCTTCGACTTCTCCGGCTACATCGTCGCCAAGGGCCCGTTCGCCCCGCTGGACCTGGACCTGGGCGACGAGGTCTGCGGCGTCATCAGCAACGGGCTGGCCCTGATGGGCAAGGGGACGCTGGCCGAGTACATCGAGGTGCCGGCGTCGCTCGTCGTCCCCCGGCCGCTGACGCTGAACATGGCGGCGACGGCGGGACTCGGGCTCGCGACACAGGCGGCGCTGACGATGCTGCAGAGCAGGCCGGTCAAGGCTGGCCACAAGGTTGTCATTAATGGCGCGGGAGGCGGCGTGGGCTCTGCTCTGACGCAGATCGTCAAGAGTGAAAAGGGCGCGTATGTGATTGGGATTTGCTCTGCGAATAACATGGACCGGCTGGGCGAGCTGGGGGCTGATCATGTCCGTGTGCACTCTGAAGCAATGCTTTCTTTTTCCCTTCTAAATTCTCCCGAGGCTGACATATTGCCCAACAGGTTCTGGACTTTGAGAGCGCGGAGCCAATACCTGACTTGCTCAGTTCCACTTACGGAGAAGAGATTGATACCGTCTTCGACTGTGTGGGAGACTCGTTGCTGTACAAGAACTCAGCTAGTTTTCTCAAGCGCTCTGGTGTCTATGTTGGAATACCTGGAGACGGCAGTAAATTGTTTTACGGCCCCTCGCTGAAGCGTAATGCTCTGCCTGAGTTTCTCGGCGGTGGACCTCGACACTACAAGGCAGTGCACCTTTCACCGTCTGGCGATCTCCAGAGAGAAGCTGTGAGATTGGCGGACCAGGGCATCATCACTGAAGTCCCGATCGACTCAATGTTTTGTATGGACCAAGCCGTTGAGGTATGCACCCGCACCCCTTACATTCTCTCTACGAAGAACCATGTCTAACCATATCCCCTAGGCTTATGAACGCGTCATGTCGTCTAAGACATGCGGAAAGGTAATTATTAGGGTGTAAGGACAGCATCGTCTCAAGTTATATCTTGTGAATTCTTGACCCAGACTGGCAGCGAGCATGAGGTGGAAATGACTGAACTTATACTCTGGTAATGATATTGCATGGATGGCGAGGCTGCATAGGGACCTGGATGGCTCACGACTGTTCCTTCAATAATGTAATTTTCTAAATGTATGTTAAGTGTTTATTGTTCCCGGGCGGACTTTTGGGGAGTACATGGATAAGCATGAAAATTGGCTGGTGCTCGACTTAATGAGGACGTTTTTTTTGTATATTGAATCTATTTTGATAAATGTAATGACCTGCATTGAATCCATTTTGATAAGTGCAATGACCCGGATAAGCATGGGGAGTCGTGATACTTCTGTAGTACTGGTTCAGGATTTTAACTTCCAATAGACGAGTGTTGTTTACCCTTTGAAGGGGCTTATTATCATCTTTTCATTTAGTAGATCTCGACCAGAGGATTGTTGCCGCTGTGCTGTAAGGTTACGAATAGCACGAACGTGGGAACGGGCTATACCTGGGGAGAAAGCTGGACAATAGTTTGTACAATCATAAATTTATTAAGAGCAACTTGGGTCACCGATGAAACGTTTCCCCGAGGTATTGAAAATCTGAATTAAATTAAATACTATGGATAACCCTATAGTAGTTTCATGTCGTCATATGTCTATATCTGATATTACTCCTCACTTGATATGGTAAGAACAAGAAATCAACGCTAAGATCAATCATGGGGTATAAGATGGAAGAGCCTCAAGAGGTATCGCCTCTTCTAGGTCGATGTGCGCCTATGGCTCGTATATTAGTGAATGTTTTACCATCGGGTAGTAGCTTGATCTGAACTCACATAATCAGGGAGACTATTAGGGGCGAAATCTCCAGACCCTTCGACGACAACCTCCAGAGGAACATTGAGAATTATGGTTGATGCCAGGGAGCCAGCACCCAAGGCGAGACGGAGGCTGTACGTTCGAGATATTATGCATGAATAAAATGAAGGAAGGAAGAGTTTTTTGTTGCTGACTGGGAGAGAGATTGGGACTTGGAGAGTTGCCTTGCACTTCTTCCGATTATTCAGCTCTC